TACAATTGATAGAGATGTTGAGATTGTTACGTTTAAAAACTTGAACGACACGTTTTTTTATTTGATCCATTTGATGGCCATTTTTGTTCTTGAAAACAGCTAACCCGTCATCCCGATATAGACCGAAATCATTTTTGTTGTAAAACTGCGAAAGTTGATCTAAAATAAAAATTCCAACTAGTTCACAAATTTCCGCGCCATCATAGGCTCCCATGGTAACATCAAACAATCCTGCTTTTTTCTTAATCCATGATATGCCACCGTTAAAAATGAACACACACACACACACACACACACACACACACACATATATATATATATATATATATATATATATATATATATATATATATATATATATATATATATATATCTATATATATATATATATATATATATATATATATATATATATATATATATATATATATATATATATATATATATATATATATATATATATATATATATATATATATATATATATATATATATATATATATATATATATCTTGTATATATCTTTTATCAAACAGGAAACTAGAATGATTTAAATTGTCATTCTGACAAAAGTGCGAAACCGAAAGTACGTGCGAAAGTGTGTTCATGCTTATTTTAAAAAAATTTAAATAACTTCCTCATTTTGGAAAAGATGTAAACTTTATTCATATATTCAAATTTAATCATAAATGTTGAATTCTAAACGATAAGCGTTATAAAACCTGCCTCAAAACTTTCACAAATATAAAAATTGATTTTGTTGCCCTCACATTTGAGGAACAGGTGGCTAATATTTTTGTATATATTTTTGATTTCCTAATATACTTAAAACTTACAACTGCGCTATACCTCAGGTTTAGTGTCGCCACAACACATTCGTTTAGCCAAACAAAAACTCATAAATGACATTTATTCTGCAGTTTTTGCAAGCGTATAACAAACTCATTGACCCTTAACTTTATTGGCTGACTAAGACTTTTCCGGGGCTATTTAAACAAGTGGATTGTTTTATGACCACAGCTTATAACTGAATTAAAAAAAACGCCGTCCTTTTTAAATTTTTGGGTCTCCCAAAAGTGCGACACCCAGGGCTATAACCATTCTAGCCACACCTTAATCCAGCAATATTATTAATGACGCCGTGGTCCTATTGACGTTTTCTACTAAATTGCGACACCTATTCTTTCTTCGTAATGCCTCACCACCCTTTCTGCATTTACCAGGATATATGCACCGATATATGATATTCTCTATCACTTCACTCAAGAAAGTTTGTAATACGGCTTAGCTCAAAGAATAGTTTTAATAGCTGACACAATAACCGAATTAAGATTATTTGTTGCCCGGGGTTATTTAAAAAACGGTCCTTTTGAATATTTTAAGGCCGCCGTCTAAACCTACCCACAACCAAATATTTAGTACTACCCATAATAGTCATGGACTGGGAGCAAGAATGGTTTTAATCGGCAGCATATTGATACTTATAAACCAAATACTGATACATCAAAGTTTACAAACGAAAAAAAGCCAACACAGCTCACAAAAAATGTCGCCAAAAACTAAATGTTAGTTACTTTGATGCAAGTTGTACTTTTTGCATTTCACTTAGTTGCGCAATATCCTCTCTAATTTATTTTAGAATATAAGTAAATTTACTTACTTATAAAACATAGTTTATTTTTAGTTTACTTTAAAAATTATATCAAATATAAGCCTATGTAATAGAATTTTTCCTTTATAAAATTTATTTTTTACAACAATTTTTATTTACTTACATGATAAAAAATGACAATTTAGATAATATTATTTTTCAAGTAAATTTTATTTATATTTGGTCGCCTATTACTTTAATGTAGTTCTTTTTCATATAAAAGTTTTTCTTACAAATACGGTAATATAATATTTTTTCTATTAATTATTTTATATGTAAATGTAAATTACATTTTGAGGAACTATCAAATTATGTAATATAATTTGGAAAAATAATTAATATTTATATGTAAAACTAAATTACTTTTCTAATGTAATCTATTTTTACATAAATTACTTTTGAAATTAAAAAAACTTACTTTATAAAGTAAAAGTTGTTTTATAAAAATTAATTACTTTTTTGTAAATGTAAATTCAATTTGAACGGTGACAATTACTTACATAATAAACTTTTTCAAAAAAATTTACTTACTCGTGTAAGTAAAAAAAAGTAAGTAAAAGTGCCATATATAATATTATCATAATTATAAAAAAAAAAATTATAAGTAAAAGAGTTACTTAAAAGAGATAGGCGACCAAATACAAATAAAATTTACTTATAAAATATTTTAAACTAAAATTAATTTATATTTTATAAGTAAGTAAATTTACTTATATTCTAAAATAAATTAGAGAGGATATTGTGCAACCGAGTGAAATGCAAAAGGTACAACTAGCATCAAAGTAACTAAAATTTAGTTTTTGGCGACATTTTTTGTAAGCGGTTTTGGCTTTTTTTCCCTTGTAAATTTTGATGTATCAGTATTTGGTTTATAGACATCAAACTGCTGCCGATTAAAACCATTCTTACTCCCGGTCCATTGCTATATTGGGCAGTACTAAAATATGTTTTGGTGTACTAGACTATGTTTTGAGTTTTGAGTACTAGACTATGTTTTGGTGGGTAGGTTTAGGCGGCGGCCATAAAATATTCAATAGAACCGTTTTTTAAATTCTTAAATCACTTCAGACGTTGTAGCATTCAAAAAAAGGAAGTTATTTTAAAAATAACCCCGGACAACAAATAATTTTAATCCCGTTATGGTTTTAGCTATTAAAACTATTTTTTGAGGTTATATTTTTGGCTTACTACAGTATGCCAAAATATAATAAATATGTATGTTTGAAGAAATTTAATCTGACATATGTCGTGTCATGTATTGTATAATATCAGAAGCCATCATTGATAATTCTATAGAATGCTTCCGTTACAGCTTCTAGGTTTTTCCGCTATTTAGATTATTTTCAAATTTGCTTCACGAGAAAAGGATCAGTTTTCAGTTGGATTGAATGTTTGAAGGCTCTGAAAAATAATATGACTAGCAATTAAAAAAATACTTATAAAAAAGAAATGTTGCATCAAAATAGTTAAAATAAACCTTGTGATTCTAAAATTGTTATAAAAATACAACGGAAACGCAAAAAGACGTTATTAAAAAAGAATTAAAAAAGAAACGGTAAAGTAAACTATAGTTTAGTTCATTTAGTAGGCTATAAGCAGCTTTTGCGGTTTTCAAAAAGTTTTTTTTTTTGAGGTTTAAATTAGTTTCAAAAGGGTGAAAACCTAATTTTTTATTTGTTTTAAAAGACTATTTTAAATCGTCTATCGTCATCATCCTTCTTTAAGATCTTTAAATCAGCGTGGTAATTATTAACAACAACTCTTACCCAAATAAAAACTAACTTTTTTTAAGCAACTATTCATAAAAATTTAGTCTTGAATAGCATCATTGATGCAACATAAGCTATTGAAAAGACAACATTGTAGCCACATAAGCTACTGATGGCGGACAGTCTACTGCCCATCTTCACGTTCAATTTTAAAGGAAATTCTCAAAAATGCAACAAATTATTTTAAAGGCACTATTTTATTTTAATAGGTTAGAATATTACTTGGGTGGCTTGGCCACCAAAGCAACTGAAAAAAAGCCTGTTGCCAATAACCTTCTTTTCAGTAACTTAGGTCCCCAAGTAATAATAAAATCTGTGTGCTCCATAATTTGCGGTGCACAGATCTTCTTGTCTATGGTTAACCTGTTTTTCTTGCCCTTAACGGATATCGTTTTATAGCATTTAGTTTATTTCCCTCCTCCCCCCCCCCCCCCACCATACCACACAAATAACGCATAATAAATATTTGATCATAAAGATTAAAGGTTTACCACGAAATGGGTGAGTTTTGCGACATTGGTTAGAAAAGAGGCGCGATATTAAATGCTTTTACGCAGGGTTCTGTATCATACAGACGTCTTGGGGGCACTTTAAAAATAATTTAAAAAGTAACAAATAAATTAAAACTCTGCCCGCCCTCTGACCACATTTAATTGTTTAATTAGGACCAATAATCTACTTTCGGTCTAAACTAAAAAATAATTTTGCTCCTTATAGCTCAAGGGCCCTCGTCGTCGCTGTCCTACTTTTACAAACCCATCCTATTTTATGATGTACTTTTGTTTTACTTTTTAAAGTAAGTGTTACATTTTTCAAACATTACATTTACATAACATTATCTCAGAGTAGAACTTTTTTACATATAAATAGTAAATTACTTTTCGATGTAAGTTTCGCGAATAAGTAAAATCGAAATTTCATTTCAAATTATATTACTTTTTAGGACTTACCTGAAAAATTAATTTACTTTTTCAAGAAAAAGTAAAGAAAAAGACTTTTAAAGTAATTAAAGTAACAAGAAAAAGACTTTTAAAGTAATTTATTTTTACTCATAAAAATTTTTGAAAGAAAGTTCATTTTCAAGTAACAATTACAAATTTAAGTAATTAAGTTTGTGTAATTAATTTTACTTGTAATATAATTTATGTAATAAAAAAAATAATTACTTTAAAATGTAAGTGAATTATATATTTTAATATGAGTTATGTAAGTAATTTACCCTTAAAAGTAAATTGCGTTTTTTTAAAATTAGTAGAAGTGCTATCCTTAATTTCTTCTGTTTTTTAATTTTTTCATTTAATAAACATAAAATTTTTTTTTACTTTAACTAACTTTTGTTTTTTTTTTTTCCCAATCTGTCAATCATTGTTTTTTCATATTTTACTAAATTAAAAAATTTTAATTGTTTCTTTTTTCCATGAAAACTTTGTTTTAAGTTCGCCACTAAACAGCATTTAAATAAACAGCATTTTTTATTTTTTTTTTGGTTGTATAAAGGTTTTCAGTTTTTAAACTGCTTGTTTTTTGTTTTTTTTTAAATAATTTTTTTTACTTGTGATTTTCTTTTTTATTACTTTTAGAAGATTTTGTATTTAAAGAGCAAAGAGAGATCGTAAAAGACAAGTATCTTGCAACCGTAACAATTCCTATAGAATATGAAATATCATTTGAAATTTTTATAACTTCATATTTAAAAGTGTGGACAAATGCAATTCATTTTACTAATTCAAATGATTGTTGTGATTACGGATCCAGAGTTCCGAGTTTATCTGTTAATCCTAATCAAAACACCGCACAAATTTGCTCATCAGTAAACGGAAGCGGTTCTTATTGTTTCGCTACGCAACCATTACCATTGATGCAATGGATTAAGGTAACGGTAAAGCAGTTTTTGACTAATAGTGATTACTTTTATTCTGTCTTAATTAATGATGAGACCGTTCATTCTGTGAAAAACACAAAAGTAAGCTTTTTTGATAACGTTAAAGTTTTCATCAGCAATCCATGGGTAGTTGCACAACCAGGATACATAAGAAACTTGTATGTACCAAGTACGAAATTTTTTCATTTTATGTTTTTAATTTTATTTTTTTATGTTTATTTTAAAGTCCAAAAATTTTTGTGAAATTGAAAAAAAAAATTTTTGCAAGCTAATTTTTACAGGGTATTTTTTTTTTGAGATTGTAGACCACTAATGAACTCAAAGCATTCACAAATTACATTATAAAAATTGTTTGGTTATAGATTCGTTATGACTCACCTAAAGTTGAATTCGAAATTTTATAAAGTTGAAATAAGATGAAAAGTTTAAAAATTTAAAAATATTTTGTTGTGGTGATCTCAAAAACTACCGGTTCTATTAACTTGAAGTTTTTTTATATCTTTGAAAAACTTTAATCTTTAGTATAATTAGGTCCTTGGATCAAAATCTTGAGTGAATTGAAAATCCTAAATCAAAATTAAAAGAATAATAAAGAAAACAAAAACAAAATAGAAGATTTTTTTTTTTTAAATAGAAAAACATTTGAAAGGTAAATTAGAAAAACATTTTAAACATTTTTTTCAGATTATCACAATGTTATAAAAATAATAGAGAACATCCGCGACAACATAAGAAACAGTTTCTAAAAAATTTAACTAAATTATTTGACAAAATTAAAATCATTTACCGCAAGGATTGCAATTACGGAAATATTTCTCAATCCCTAGATTGTGGGATTGAAAAACACTAATCCCATGATTGATCTCTGGATCGAAAAACTTATATAATGTTATTAAATAGAATAAAAAAAGTACATTTTTAGTCTAAAATATATTTATTAAATGAATGTAGTTACTGCATACATTAAAAATGTATGCAATTAACATTACATTGTTACATGCATGGGAGAAAAACATGTTATTTTAACATGTTATTAATATTGAGAAATTACTTTATAAACAACATAATGTGCTTTGGACATAAGGAAGTACATCGCCTCCAAAGTTTCATCGTCCAAACGGTTACAAACTTTTGTATTGAACAGCCTAGCGGGAAATAATGCTCAGCATAGACACTTGGAAATTTTACGGCTTTTAGAATTGAACAAGCTCTTTTCAAATAACTGCCACGTGTGCCACCAATTTTGAATACTGTCATTTATTTTAAAATTATTGATAACAGTATATTATTTCCAGTAGCGTAGCTAATGGCCTGTAGGGCACACAGTTGCGGGAAGCCCTAGATTTATAAGGAACCAAGCCAATTTTTTTTTTTTTTTTTAAAAGTTGTCTTTTTTAAAAATAATATGCAAATATATAAACACAGCAACATTAACAATTTTTACTATTATTATATAGCTAAGAACTACAACTTTTTTTCAGACTTTTTTTTTAGCCTAAATTATAATCTTGAGTAATACTTCAAACAGTGAGCTTTTTATTTATTTATATCTAAAAATTAAAACAAACTGATTAAACTAATAATTATACAATTTAGTTAAATGGTAAGTATGATGTCGAAAGGTTTTAAAGCAAAGTACAATAGTAAAGCTATTGTATTAAAACAATAACTCACTTTAAAAAAAGATTGCTAAGATAAACGTCGAGGTAGCTGTGTAGCTATTTTCATTACTTTTATATTTATCACTCATAAAAACAATTAGTTTTAAAAAACTTTTCTCAAACAAGATTTGGTAGATGTAAAAATTAACAATAAACATTTATAGGTTATACATAGACTAAATAATGTTAATTTAATATAATATATCGCTGAATCCTTCAAATTAGCTCATAGTTAATTAGGAAGTCTTATGATTTCTGATTCAATGTTGGTAATTTTAACATATCATATTTCCCAAGTCCAGACACACTATGGTTGCTCAAACCAAATCTTGAAATTGTTATTTACTTACAGCAGTTATTCTATTTTAAAGTTTTTTCTTAGTTCTATAATAGGTGATAATACTAAAGGCTTTGTAAGTATCACTTCAAAAGTTATAGTTTTAAAACCGTTTCCTAAAAGTTAATCTCAGTTGTTTAGTTACAGCAAAGGTAATTGCGATTCAATATCAAACTTTATTGCATCAATAAAGTGAATATTAACACCAATACATTTTATTTCTGCATACAACCGCCGATCAATGTTTAATTTATTAACTTTTAATAATTGTGCTGTTTGCAAATATTTATTGCCAAGGTTAACAACAAAGAAAAAGTATGATACTTGGGTTACTCCACTTATTAAAATCCGAGCAAAAAATCCGTTTCGTGTATCTGTATATAAGTGCTCAACTAAATGGAAGAATAGTAATCTGCTTATTCGTGCCGTAAAATATGAAATATTTAAAGCAAAAAGAGCATATGAAAAAGAAATATTATTAAAATCCCTCTGAATAATTTCCATCCTTAAAAAAGTGATTTTAATCTGAATAAAATTATAAATCAACTTGGGTTTTTTATTTCAGACCTTATTAACTTACCAATCTTAACCCCTATAAATATTTTTTGCATTTACAAAAATCTTTTATAAATTCTTTGATTCTGCAAAACTACTCACTTTCTAAAAATTAGCAAAATTTAGTTCGGTCCATAAAAAATCGGAAGATAAATTACATGCTGAAAACTATGGAACTATTTCACTAAACTTAGTTGCCTGCAAAATAGTCAAAATGTTTGTTAAAAACAAAATCTTTAAGCACATTAACGTTAATAAAATGCTTTCTGCAAACCAATATAGCATTTTTTTACCACAAATTATGCGTGACTAAACAGAGACTTCTGATATTATTTCATCTTCTATAGTATTTCACCATTTTATTAATGTAATCTCGATTTCACCAAAGCTTGGGTTCTCTACTTCAAAACAAACTTATGTAAAAAGATAAAACCTTGATTGAATCTATTCAACGCAAAGTATCCAGTTTGAAACATTTGAAATAATGAGTGATGACTAAAAAATGAGAATAATTCTAACCCTCTGAAATCAAACCGCAAAAGTCAAAAAAAGAGTAGTAGTTCTATGTGACTCTCTTTATTTACAAACTTATCGTATGTTTTGTTTTGCATCAGCTACTTTACTTGTGTTTAAATGCTTTCAAGACATGTATACGCGAGCGCATAGTAAAGTTATATCAAATGCACAAAAATCTCGGGATATAGTTTACTATGTCAATTATTTTAAAACCAAAAATGTTCCAGTTTTAACTAATTTTCTTATTTTGGCATCCTTAACAACCATTCGTAAAAGTGGTTGTGGAAGGTCAGCTAAAATAATGAACAAGAAGGGGCTTTGTTTGCTTCACGATGCTTTCTACAACAATTATTCAATAAGACAACGAGATGCTGCAAAAAAGTTCAAGTGTTCGCAGCCTAATATCTGCAAATTGTTGAAAAAACAAGGAACAGTCTGCCAAAAAAAACCAGAGGACCGAAATACACTGAGCAACAAATATCAAACGTGAAATCTCAATGCCGCTGTATGACACTAAATTACTCTGGAAAACCTTTTCTTTTGGATGACGAAAGTTATTTCCCCCTCTCCAAAACGCAAATTCCAGAAAATGATCGATATTTTGTGATGATGTACATTGTCATATCTGAGAGGGGAACTTTTAAGACATTGTTTAAGCCTAGTGGTTTGGCTATTAATCAAGAAGTACACCAAAATCAATGTTTGAAGAAAGTATTGATTCCATTTCTTCAAAAATATTATTCAGATGGCAATTACTTGATTGTTTATTGACTTCTCTAAGGCCTTTGATACTGTGGACCATGATATTCTTCTTTACAAACTTGCAGTTTATGGAGTTAAAAATAATAAATTTAAATAGTTTTGTTCCTATCTTAAAAATTGCAAACATTTTTTGATGTGTATCTTATTACAAAACTTACACTAAATTAGAAAACATTACGTACGGAGTTCCACAGGAATCTATTCAGGGGCCATTGTTGTTTATTATCTATATCAACGATATTTACTTTTTATCTAGTATACTAAACTTCAACCTTTTTGTTGACGACACTGAAGTTTTTTATACTCACTTTAACATTAAGACAATCTTTACCACTATAAATAGTGAACTTGATAACCCTAATGAATGGTTTAAAGCCAACAAACTCTCTCTGAACCCTACCAAAGCAAATATACTCTCTACATTCTAAATCTTCTAAATCTGGCACGTTGCCTTTAAAACTCCCGGATATTTTAATAGAAAAAACCAAGTTGCAAATGACATACTGTGTTAAATTCTTAGGCGTTTTAATAAATGAGCAAATAAATTGGAAAGAGCATTTTAATCTAATAGAAAATAGAATTTCAAAAAGTATTGCAATCATGTATAAAACTGGATACATGTTGGATAAAAACTGTTTAAAATCTATTTACTTTTCATTTATTCATAGTTATACTAGTTATTGTATCATTGCTAGGGCAAGCACTTATCCGTCAAGACTAACTTTTATCTTAAAAAAAAAAAACAAGCAAGCCGCCTTATATTAAATGCTTATAAATGCACCAGTGCCAATCCACTCCTACGTAAGCTTGGAGTGCTTGTTTGGAGTGAATGTTTACCAATTAAATATTTCTAATATTCTTTTATTCATGTTTAGATTAAAATATCATATGCTACATAATATTTTTGAAGACCTTTTCTTTATTATAGATCACAAATATCAAACAAAACCTTAATTGTTTAATTATTAGGTACCAAAAACTTTGTTAAAACAATCTGAATTCTCAATAACTTACCGAGGGCTACATTTGTAAAGCTCATTTCTCCAAAATAATAATAAAACTACACTTCAATCCATCCTTTTAAAAGTATCTTAAAAAAATAATTACTTGGTAATGAGATACCGTAAAATGGGGTTACTTTGAACGTTTTTGACGTATTTTTACTTGCTCTTCCTTCACTATTGACAATATTTGAAATTTAATAAAGTGAGTATAGAGGCTAAAATTGACTCTTACATAATTCATATCCAAAATAATATTTAAATAAAATTATTTTGTATAATATTAATTTACATAGTCAATCAAAGTTACCCCGCAATTGGTGTAACTTTGAATGCG